GCTGGCACCTGTGACACCGGCATCCCTGAGGACAGCAATTCAAGCCCTGAATGCTCCACTTCCACTCCAGTGTCCTGCTAAAGGCCTGGGAAAGCAGCAGAGTCGTCGTGATGTGTGAGCCACTGAAATCACTGGGGAGAAACAGAAGATGCTCCTGGCTTCTGGCACCATCCCAGCCACTAGGCCCATTTGGGGAGTCAATCAATGACAGAGTATGTCTGTCTCTCTCCCCAATGAGTAAATAAAAATTGTTAAAAAGAATCTATTAAAGATTATTAAAAAAAAAAAAAAAACCTACCTCCATGCTCACATCCCATACTTGAGAAACAAGAAAGCAACCACAAATAGGTGTCAATGTGCTTTGCACACATCTCAGAGTGGGCAACAATCCATCCCGAAACACACGATGGAATCCAGCAAAGGTAAGATGCCACGCACATGCTGAGGTTACAGAGGGTCAACTTCTTAGCGCAGCCTGACATAACTGTACTCACTGTTTATAGTAATACTGCCCAGAGACCCCAAAGCAAACACCAATTTTTAATTAGTGTGTAAGCATTACTTAAAAGTTTTCATTGAATAAAAAACACATTATTGCTCTTAAAATTCCCACTGAACTGTCTTTAACATCAAATAAAGAAAAAAAAAACAAGGAAAATAATGAGCTCCCATTAAGCATGTAAATAAAACCTGGTATAGAATTCTGACTCCTCGACAAGTCCATCCACTCTTCCCGTTCCTGGTCTTAAAACAAGAATTCTTGACTGTGTTCACAACGATCAACGAGCCAATAGCATGAAGTTGCTCAATGGGCCAACTTCCAACTTATCAACAAATAAAACTCACCTATATCACAGCATTTACCATCCAGGAGACAGAAGTTCTGCTTATGACAGCACATTAAAAAAAACTGTAAAGTTTCTACACACCCACCCAACTCACCCTGCAAAACCCAGAAGAAAGCAGCCTCTTTGGCATCTGCTGTTAAGAGGCTCCTGTGAAGAGCAGCGGCGTCCAAGCCGGCTGTTGTATGCTAGCTCGCTGCTTTGGTCATCCACCGCCCTAGCTAGACACCAGCAAGCACTGGGCCTACGGCAAGGGGGCTCCCGCACAGACAGCAGATACAAATGTGCAGGAAGCATCTTAAAGAGCCAAATTAACTTACTTCACCTTGATATTCTTCAACTCATTTAAGCAGAAATATTCATATGAAACACATTAATGAATGTGATTAGCAAAGTGATTTATTTTGAAATAAACCCAATTATTCTAAACTTAATATAGAACATGTAAAGCCAATCAAGTTTATAAAGGAATCATCTCCCACTTACAGAGAAGCTACTGAAAGTGCAAAATGCAGCTGAATGAGTAACTGTTAAAACAACGGGTCATTCCTAGTCTGCCATCTGTAGCAGGTGACACCTCCCTGGGAACTGATGCCAGCCTCTCATCACAACCAAGGTAAAGGGCTTGAGGTCCAGGAGCAGCGAGGCCAGCTCTGGGAGCCTGCTGACCTCATCCCGCAGGGACGTGCGCCTGGAACATTGTCAACCATGCCGGCTTCCACAGACAGCAGCTCCTGAACTAAAATGTTAGTAAATGACAAGGGTTCTGGAGGAAAGGCCTGTAAGAAAACTGCGTATTACTCCAAAAAAAAAAAAAAAAAAAACCATATTAAGAAAAACCTTAAGTAAATGTCTATTTAAAATATTTCTGCTCAGAATGTTTAAGGGAAATGAAGCAAACAAGGAGCAACTCCTCTGAAGCCAAAAAAATTCTCTAAAAACACCGCAAAGTCCACTTTCTTCCATCAGGAACATAGAACAGGCTCCTGCTCACCTCCCGAGCCACACACGCACTGCTGACCCCACAGAGGAGCCTCTGCTCACACACTCCCACCCCACGGAACGGAGCCGCGGCCTCTGCTCACACACTCCCCACCCCACGGAGCCGCGGCCTCTGCTCACACACTCCCACCCCACGGAACGGAGCCGCGGCCTCTGCTCACACACTCCCACCCCACGGAGCCGCGGCCTCTGCTCACACACTCCCCACCCCACGGAGCTGCACGGCCTCTGCTCACACACTCCACACCCCACGGAGCTGCACGGCCTCTGCTCACACACTCCACACCCCACGGAGCTGCACGGCCTCTGCTCACACACTCCACACCCCACGGAGCTGCACGGCCTCTGCTCACACACTCCACACCCCACGGAGCTGCACGGCCTCTGCTCACACACTCCACACCCCACGGAGCTGCACGGCCTCTGCTCACACACTCCACACCCCACGGAACGGAGCCGCGGCCTCTGCTCACACACTCCACACTTGCTCCAGATCAACAATGTCAGCCCCCTCCTCTCCACCCAAGCCAACTCTGACTAAGAAATCCGGCTCTCCACTTCATTTTTAAGTCCATTTTAACCTTCATTTTCTCAATTCTGATTGCAAAACTTCGTAAAAAGCAAGAGCTGGCATCCATCTAGTCAAGTTTCCCGACAAGGAAAGGACACCGACACAATCGGGCCAGCTGTTCTTCCCCACGGGCGGCCATGAAGTCCCAGGTTTGATCTGTCACCATCTGTCTTCCATGAAAGGTTTCCATGTATTGAAACCACCAACTTAGGCCCTCTCTGACTGGCCTAACCTAGAACGAATCCCTACTCAAAAAAAAGCAAGCCGTGTTGCAGCTACTTGGCAGCAAAGAGCGGCAACTCCCTGGAGAGCGAGCCGAAGGCTGGCCAGGGAGCAGCAAGGCAAGCAGGAAATCGCACCACACTCCCAAACTTTCAAACAAAAATCCTCAAATTGTAAAAGCAAATGGCAAACTGTAAAACATTTTGTGATAAAAATCCTAAATGGTTTCATTTAAAAAATAATCAAGCACCTCTACTAGCAAAAAACTTAACTCCATTAATCAAAAAAGTAGCCTTTATAGTTTTACCTAAATTTGCAATTAATTTTTCTGAATTTGGACAAAAACATTTCAAGCCACAAACAGAAGTCACAGTTTATTCGGGGCAGTGACCGGTTGCAAAGCACTGAGGCATAACTTGCCAAATTCTATCATTACTTAAATCATTCACCAAGTAAAAAAAAAATGCAGTTAACAGACGAATCCAGTTCTCAAGTCATGTTAAGCTTATAACAAGCTAACAATCACAGGAAGCGGCTTATCCCACACTGGGGAACAGCCCCTTTTCCGGCAGGCTTGTGCTGGTCTGATTAAAACAATCGGGCTTCCGAGGCCTCGGCGGGCAGAGCTCAGGGCAGCGGGCAGGGCGCAGGGTGCAGGGCGCAGGGCGCAGGGCGGCGGGCAGAGCTCAGGGCGCAGGGCAGCGGGCAGAGCTCAGGGTGCAGGGCGGCGGGCAGGGCGCAGGGCTCAGGGCGCAGGGCGGCGGGCAGGGCGCAGGGCTCAGGGCTCAGGGCTCAGGGCTCAGGGCTCAGGGCTCAGGGTGCAGGGCGGCGCGCAGGGCTCAGGGCTCAGGGCGGCAGGGCTCAGGGCTCAGGGCTCCGGGCTCCGGGCGCAGGGCTCAGGGCAGCGAGCCTCCATGGCGCAGCGATCTCCAGCGAGCAGCCTCTGCCACGCTAGTCATTTTCTTCTCTGAAAACCCCACACTTTCACATAAACAAATACATAAATCTTGGTTAGAAATAATGACGACAGGGACTTCTGGGTCTAAAAAGAAACTACCAAGGCCAAAAGGATAGAAACTTAACAGGAAACCAACGTCAAATTATTCAGTGATTCTAGATCAACGAAAAGACACAAGAACGAAGATCTTTTCCTTCCAAAGAAATTCGAATTGTTTCGTTTTTAAATGGTACACACGAGCTGAAAATAATTACAACGTTGCAACTTCCTATGCCATTCGACTGAGTTCAACTTTGAAAACTGCGATTTTAATTAACTTAAAATATGGCCGAGGCCTCTTTTCATTTCACTACTAGATTCCTTCTCAACTACTTCACCTCACAAACAAGCTTTCCTCAGAAACGCTTACTGCTAAAACTTAATCCAAACATTCCAGAAAAATAAGTGTTAACGCTGAGCCGTGATAAAGCTGTTAACAATTTTAAAAGGCCCCCCGTATTTGCAAGCATATTTCTGGACACAGAGTAACATATAAAAATGCTCCGTAATTTAAGTTTCAAGTAAATTCCATATAGGTCAGAGACGGCGTTTCCTTCGTTACAATAACAACTGGCGCCCCTTAGCGCTCACATTTGGAAACACTCGATTCGGGAGTTCCTGCCTTTTTTTTTTTTTTTTGACATTCCAGAAAGTTTTCTGCCTCCACAATCTTTCAAATGCCAACACAAATAGGAAAGGCAGAGCCCCTTAAAGGGACAGCTCAGCCTCCCTCAGCCCCCGGGGGCGAGCAGCCCCGCCGACCCCGAGGGCGAGCGCCCCTTCCCACGCGCGGGGCTGCTGCGTGGCGGGCCCGGGGGCCGCGCGGGGGCCGCGCAGGGCTCCTCCCGCACACGTTTCCGGCCTTTTGTTCGGCGCTGACATCGCGCTCGGAGCGCCGGGCGCCTTTCCCCCGCGCCGCCGGCTGCGGCCCACGGCTGCTCGGCACGACGCGCGGGGCCGCCGGCGGCCAGCCCGCTCCCCGCGCCCCGCAAACTTTTGCCCGGCTCCGGTCGGAGCGCGGGGGGCGCCGGCGGCGGGGCCCGGGACTCGGCTCCCGTCCGTCACCGCGGGACTTCGGGCTCCACCCCCTCCCCAAAGCGAAGTTCAACTCCCGCAACACTTCTCGCTTCCCCAAACAAAAGGACAGAAAAGTGCGTCGCCTGTCACCCCGCGCGGCGCCCCAGCCGGCCCTCCCGCCCCGCGCCCCCCGAGCTCGCGACGCGCGGGGCTGCCACGCGCGCGCCCCCCGCGCCCCGCGCCCCGAGCCCCGGGCCGGCGCCTCGGCCCCCCGCGCCCGGCCGTGACCTTCCCGCCCGCCCCCCGCAGCCCGCCGGGGACCCCGCGGCCCGGGGCGGCGGCTCACCTTCGTCCAGCAGCCGCTCGAGGTGGTTGAAGATCCCGCAGAAGTTGGGCAGGCTGCTCATGAGCTTCTTGTCGTTCATGAGCTGCATCAGGTAATCTGGGGTGGGCTTCGGCTTCTCCTTCGTTTCCATTTCCCCGACCATATTCCAGGCTGCGCCGCTCGCTCGGCCCGCCGCCGGGGAGCAGGGAGGCGCGGGGGCGAGCCCCGGCCGCCGGCCGCTCGGGACGCGGCGTGCCGCTCCGCGCCGGGCCCCGCGCCGGCTCCCGCGCCGGCTCCCGCGCCGAGCCCCGGGGCGGCCGGCCCCGCGCGCCCCGCCGCCGCCGCCGCCGCCGCCGCCCGCGGGCACCCTGGGCCGCCCGGCGCGTCCCCCCGCGAGGCCGGCGGGCGAGGCGGGCGCCGACGCCGGGGAGCGGCTGCGGGTGTCGGGGCGCGGGCTGTGCGCGGGCTGCGTGCGGGCTCGGTCCCCGCCGCTCGGCCGCCGCCGCCGCTCCGACTGCGCTCCTCCTCTTCCTCCGGGTCCTCCTCCTCACTCACTCGCCGGCCGAGTTCGCCTCAGTTCAGGCGGCGCTGCCGGCGGGGGAGGGGCGCGGGCCGGGGGCGGGCGGCGGGCGGGGCCGCGCAGGGCGGCCGTTGGCGGGGCCGGGCTCCGCGTCTGCCCGCCGCCCTGGCCGGGGCCGCCCCGCGCCGCGGCCGCCCGCACCGCGCCCTCCGGCCGCCCCGCGCCTCGCCCGCCGCCGCGCCGCCGCTGCCTTTTTTCTTTTTTTTGTTAGAAACCTCTCTCCGCCGCCCTTCGGCAAGAGACCGCCACCCTTCCAGAAGGAAAGAAAAAAAAAAATTTTTTTTTTTTCTCTTAACGTCCTGTTGCTTCACGGGGGACTTTGGTGGGGTGGGCGTCACGTGGCGCGACACGTAGCGCTGGGGCTCCAGGGCGCGTGCGCGCGTGCGGGCCGCTGTCCACGCCCCTCCCGAGGGTCGCTCCGCCCCCGCCGGGCTCCCCGAGCGCGCGGCGGGGGGAGGGGCGCCCGGAGCGCGCCTGCGTGGGCAGGGGCCGGGGCGGGGCCGCCGCCGGGCTGGGCGGGGCCGGGCCCCTCCCCTCGGAGCGGGCCGTCGGGCCGGCGCGGCCCCGCCCCCCGGGCCGAGCGCCGCCGAAGGTTCCCCCGCGGTGGCTGAGGGGGCCCGGGAGCCCCAGGGGCGGCGCCGCCCCCGCAGCGGCACCCGCGCGACCGCCCCCGGTTCCCCCCGGCTCCCCGACCCGTCGCGAGCGGACGCGGTGCGAGGGGCTGCGCCCGGCCACCCCGTCGGGCCTGGGCGGAGGAGGCGGGCCGCGGAGCCGACGACGTGATGGAGTCGCGCCAGCGCTCTGTCTCGGCTCGCGCCTTCCGCTGGAGGCCGAGGGGGGCGAGCCTAGAATCCTGCTTCTCCGGAATGTCTGAGCGCCTGCTAAGCCCGGGCGGAACAAAAGGTGTCGGACTCGTTTCCAGCACTCTGCGGTCGGCGGGAGCTTCTGGTGAGCCCGTTTGAGAACAACGGGTTCGTTTTAAAATTAAGTTCATTTGATCGAGGAAATGAGATGGAGTTGGTAGACACATTAAAATCCTTTAACTCGAGTACTTTCAATTCCCCAGCAGCCATGGCCGTTTATAGGGGCTTCCAATATTCACCTAATTGTCTGTTTAATTGATGGGTTGTGCAAACGCAGGGATTACTGATTTGATCAAAAAGCCGTTGTCTGGAACACAGCCTTGGAGCAGGAACCCCGCGGTCGTTTTCGCAGGTTATGACGTGGTTTATTCGGTTGCTGGGCTCCGTCGCAGCTAACTCCCTCTCCTGAGCAGGTCATGGATCGCTCCCTCCACCTGGGGTCCGGCGACCGCACTGGACCCTCCCTCCACTCTGGGCCCGGTTAGCCCCTGACCACGGTCCTGAGAGGAATTCAGACCTTCTCACTGGCCGCATCTGCACGTGACCCCGTGCACCTGTGACTGCCTACCTGGCCTTACCCCCAGTAAACCTCTGTCTGGCGTGGCCTAACCGCCTGGGGTCATCCGATGGGACCAGATGGACCAGGGATGACACGCAGTGCTCTTGCTCCACGTAGAATCCCACGTGACGGCTGTTGTATAAGACTTTTGTGAGCACTTCCCTGCTCACTGCCTACTCTTGGTTTCTGAGAGTTTAGGGACCCCAGCACCCCACCCCCTGGTGCCACGGGCCTTGGGCCTGCCCTCTTCTGAAAGGGGAAGAGCGGGAGCCCCATGGACGCTACCCCTACCTTTCTCTTGATCCTTCAACTTGCCAAGCATGCTCTCCTACCCAGGCCCCTGAATTCGGCCTTTGCTGTCCTGGGGGCGCCACGAGCTGGGCTCCCTGCTATTCCGGGGTCTCCGCAGAGACCCTCAGGGCAGCCCTGCGTCAGCACCAGGAGTGAAGGCGCACACGGCCTGTCGTCCTGCTTACCTGCCCAGCGTTGGTGTCCACCTGCCGTGTGCGCTGAGCTCAGCTGCTGCTTGGCCACTTACTGCTGCCCCATGGGCTTCTTCTGAGCAGCCACGTGACTGCTTGGAATTCCCAACACCTAAAGAGCACATGGCGGGTAGACTTTCTGTAAGAATGTATTCAATCAGTGAGCACTTGACAGGGACGCTACAAGACTCTCCTGTCCTTCCTGCAGTGTGGAAGTATGTACAGGAGCGGGGAAGGGCCAGCTGTCGCCCACACGAGAAGGAGGGGCCTGGCTGCCAGTCACCGGCCACCTCTGCATTGGGCCCTCGCGGGCCACAGCTCTCCCGGGACACACCTGCTCCATCCCAGGCATCTACGTCTCCATCCCGCCGACTCTTGATTCAAGCATCTCGATATACAGAGAATGCTTTAAAAATTCATCAAGCAATGCTTGTTAGGAAAAAACAATGTGTAGATTTCAATAGTTTTATGCACCAAACACATCACAACATTAATTACCGAACATGCACTAGATTCAGCAAGGAATACCAAAGAATCTTTTTTTATTATTATTATTATTACTATTATTATTGGAAAAGCAGATTTACAGTAGGAGATACAGAGAAAGATTTTCCATCTGCTGGTTCACTCCCCAAGTGGCTGCAACAGCCAGAACTGAGCCAATCCAAAGCCAGGAGGCAGGAGCCTCTGTCCCAACGCTTTGGGCCATCCTCCACTGCCTTCCCAGGCCACAGTCAGGGAGCCAGAAGGGAAGTGGAGCAGCCTGGACTTGAACCAGTGTCCATATGGGATCCCTGAGGTTGCAACTCCAGGTATTAGCACCTAGGCCATTGCACCAGAAATGGAATACAAAACATCTTGAGATACATGGCTTCCCTTGGGGAAACTTAGAAATTTTGAATTAACATAGAATAAAAAGTAGCATCTTAAACTCAGAATGTTGCAGTAGACGCTGGATATATAGTGTCCAGTTGAAGTCCCTGGCAGTGGTGTCCTTTCACTGTGGGCGATTGTGTCATCTGATGTGTCTCCTGTGATCAGCAATTAACATGAGTACAAATTCCCCCTCTCTTCTCCTATGTTTGATAAGTTATTTTTGGTTGTTGCTACTCTTGACATTTAAAATAGAAAAATTGGGATAGTTCAAACATTCCCGTCCTTGTCACCCAGAGGCCCCCCTTTTTTTTAAAGATTTATTTTTTTAATTTTTATTGGAAAGGCAGTTATACAGAGAGGCAGAGCCAGAGAGGAAGATCCTCTGTCCAATGATTCACTCCCCAGGTGGCTGCAACGGCCAGAGCTGAGCCAATCCGAAGCCAGGAGCCTCTTCCGGGTCTCCCACGCAGGTGCAGGGTCCCAAAGCTTTGGGCTGTCCTCGACTACTCTCCCAGGCCACAGGCAGGGAGCTGGAAGGGAAGCGGGGCTGCCGGGATTAGAACCAGCGCCCACATGGGATCCCAGGTATGCAAGGCGAGGACCTTGACCACTGCGCCACCGCGCCGGGCCCACCCAGAGGCCTCTTGTGGGAACTGAAATGTCCCTTGGATTTAAAATTCCCTGTTTGATGACTTTGTATCTCAGTGTTCTCTTGAAAAATCTTAATCCTTAAATTTTCCACACAGGAAATGGGGCATTTCTTTGGTAGCTGTGTACCTGTTTATTAAGTGATTTCTCGGGTATCATTTTAGTTGATGCAGGACATAGGAGATGCTGTTTGAAAGACTGCAGATGGCACACCGTACGTGTGAGTATCTTGATCTGCTCTGTAACACCTGTTACAAGTAAATGAGTGGGCGTTGACCCCGAGGTGCTCCCGGGGTCAGCTGGGAGGTCACTGCACCCGCGTTTCCAGTTAACTAGTAACCGCCAAGCACGAAGCAAAGACGCGATGCTGTGGCCATGTCATGAGCAGTGTCCTTTGCCCCCGAAAACCTGCAGGGCCACACTAGGTCACAGTGCACCTCCGCTAAGGGGAGAACCCAAGAGCTGCGGGAGGGACATGAACAAGAACTCGGACAGGCGGAAGGTGCCCCAGTGTGGCACAGGCGTCCCCGTGGGGAGAAGTGGGTGCCAGGTCCTGGTTGGCTCCAGCGTCGCACCAAAGAGTTTGCAGATGAAGGGCCTCGGGAAGTTTTAACTCCAAGGAAATGAATCAGTCAGCGGGAAGCATGCTTGTCTCCTGGTACAAACTCAGCATTTGTGAATTTCCCTACTGGTGTTCTCATGTTTGTTGTCCTGCCGTTTCAAGCCCGAGGGCAGCAGAGTTCCAGATGTAGTACCACGGCCTGGTGGTTAAATGTTAACTGACAGTATAAAGTTTCTACTCATTTGACCCCAAGTGAAACCGTAGAGGCAGAAACTTTCCCAGCCAGGATGGGGCCCTTGGGCCGCAGAATGCAAGGCTCATTCCCGGCCAGAACAGAAACCTCAACTAGAAGGGTCTATTAATCATAGGAATATGAGAGTGAATTAAAAATGTGTTTTGTTCTGATAGGCACATGGACTGACTGCAGGAGGACTTGACAAGCCCCTGCCTTCATGAGCTTCCTTCAGCATCTGTGTGCTTAGACGAATCTGTGCTTAGATGTTTAAGGGATTAAACAGATGTGGTTTGATTCAGAGTCTGTGAGTTTTAAATAGCTAATATGGGTAACCATGGTGTGAGCAAAGAAAACAACCACATGTGTCCCAGATAGTTAATGAAATGCCATTGTCCCTTAGTGAAATTCGACTTAGACACTGGCTGTAATTTTCCACTGATTTCTGTAAATCCTGTGCCTTCTG